TGATAAACGATCAAGCTCATTGAGCTGGTTTTACTGTTCAGTGCATTTATTCCCGCGTGCTAAGGTGTTGAAATTTAGCGTTTATTGTCGTATTGACACTGACGTTTGAAAATTTGACTTGATGACTGACCCATTTTCATTATCAGGTCTAATTCAACTAACGTAATTAGTTGGTTAAATTGATTAGTTGAAAATTTTGATTTTTTTCGTAAATTTTCACATGATTTAATGGTGATCACATTATTTAATGGGCAACAAGTGAATTGCATCCCATTCCTAAATTTGAATCACTTTTAATACTAACATATACTAATATTTATTAGTCAATTTTTATTTATCAAAAAAAAAACTTGACTTTTTTTATTTTTTTTTATATATTTTACTATTATATATTATTATTACTCTATTTTTAAAAAAATATTTTTAAAAAAATTTTAAAATCATCATAGAAATCACTTAAAAATTTTTTTTAATTAAATATATCTAATTCAAAACCTAATTTTAAAAAATACTAAAGATATAACATAAAAAACTTTCAAGATCTATATTAAGAACATAAATATCTAAGTGAACTAAATATAACATAACAAAGAGAAGCTCAATTCAAACTAAATGCACAACAAAATAAGTCTTGAATAGCTAATAAAAAGGGAAAAAAAACATATCCATAACAAGTACATATGTTAAATGACTTTGAAATCAATTTCAAAACAAAATAAGTCTTAAACGTACATATATAGTAGATGAATTTTGTGAAGTTAAATTTTGTCCAAAAGATGATATCATTTTGCTTCCACTAACATATACGAGTTAAAAATTTTAAGATAATATAAATAAGATTACTTTTTCTCTAAAAAAAGTTAAATTTTTAAATTTATAGAGTAATTGAAATATTGTCTAACTTACTACAAAATAATGGCAAGGCAGAAGGTGCAATTCAGCTCCTGTACTTGCAATGTTGTGGTAAATCAGTCCATGTACTAGAAACATTGGCAAATTAGCCCCTCTATTACATGCACTACTAGAAAAATGACGTATACGGACTGAACATATACGGATCGAATAGTGTTGGTCTGAAAAAATAAATATTCGAACCAATATCGGTCTGAATATATTCAGGTGGCACAACAGATACTAATCAATATATTCGGATCGGTATCGATTCGTATATTTCTGGCAGGATTCCACAGTATAAAAGCGCCAATAATATTCAGACCGAAAACGGTCCGAATATTATTTTTGAAAAAAATAAATATTAAATAACAAAAAATTTGAATAAAATATTATTTAAATAAATATATACAGACCGGCTTCGATCTGTATATATCCATTAGAAAATATGAAATTTCATTTGTATATTCGACCGATATCGGTCTGTATATTTATTATTTTTCCTAAAAAATAAATATTAAATAACAAAAATTAGGAATAAATTATTATTTTTAATGAAAATATACGAACTGAATCGGTCCGTATATATTATGTTGAAAATCGTATATATTAATTTATTATAGGATCGGGATCGGTCCGTATATACTTATCCGGACTGATCCCGGTCTGAAAATTGACGTTAGCGAATCTCTGAATTTATTGGACGCTGGGGCTCACCCACAGTTTTTTTCGGACCGAGATCGGTCT